ATTCTTGGATGGCAGTTTTTTTTCTCTTAGTACTTGGGCTATATCACACCATTCTCTCTTAGTCTGCAGGGTTTCTGATGAGAAGGCTGCTGTGAATCTAATTGGAGATCCTCTGAAAGTAATCTGGTGTTTCTCTCTTGCACATTTTAGAATCTTCTCTTTATGTTTTACTGTGGTGAGTTTAATTACAATGTGTCATGGGTGAGGATCTTCTCTGGTCAAGTCTATTGGGAGTTCTGTGTGCTTCCTGTCCTGAGGTCTCTTTCTTTCCCCAAATTGGGGAAGTTTTCTGCTAGTATCTCACTAAAAAGGTCTTCTAGTTCTTTTCTCTCACCATGCCTTCAGGGTCTCCTAGAACCTGAATGTTGGGGTTTTTAATAGTATCCTGTAGATTCCCAACAATATGTTTTTAGATTTCTAACTTTCTCTTCTTGTTTTTGGTCTGACTATATACTTTGCTGTGTTCTGTCTTCTAAGTCCGATATTCTCTCTTCTGCCTCACTGATTCTGTTTTTAAGGCTCTCAATTGCATTTTTATTTGTTCTATTGAATTTTTCATTTCATTTTGATTTCTCTTCAATCTCTCCATTTCATGTTCTATTGAATTCTTCATTTTATTTTTTTCTGGCTTAAGATTTCAGTTTCATGTGAGAGATTTTCTTCCATGTCCTGTATGGATTTCAGTAGTTTGTATGTTTGATTTTGATTACTTCTATGTAATCTTATGATCAATTTTTGCGTTCCATTTCTTGCATTTCTTCTATCTCATTGTCTTCATAATCTAGGATTGAAGTGTTGTGTCCTTTTGGGAATGTATTGCTGTCTTTCTTATTTTTGTTTCTTAGATTGTTGCATTTGTTGTTCAGAATTTGTGAAAATATTCATTGGTTTCTTCTTTTGTTTTATTTGCTGTGGCAGCTTTTATTGTTGTACTATGACTCTGGAGATAAGTGGACTGTCTGCTTTCAGTGAATCTCTAGAGGCTTATAGAGGGTGTGGCCAGAGAGCTCTGTTCAGTTCTCCAGGGTTAAGGGAATGCCTAAGGTGACACACCCAGGTTTGCTGTTGTAAATCTTTTCTCTTTTTTGAATCAGAAGGGATGTATATTCTGCTCAGCTGAGCTCTTCTTGATGGAGACCAGTGCCTGAGCACTAGCCCTCATTGGTATAATATTTGTCTGCTCTGTCCCAAGGACCACACAAAGCATCCATGCAGTTCTCAGTGTAAGTTCCAATTCCCCAGCACTGTCTCTCACCAGGTAGCCAGGACCACCAGAGCTTGTGGCATCTCCCACTGAGACTCTCAAAGTACAACTCACACTGTGAGCCCTCCCACACACCCTGTTTTTTTTCCACAGTCCCAGTTCAGAAGCTTCACACAGTCACAGGCTCCTAGCTGCCTGTTATTTCCCCCACCAGAGTCAGGAGTCTCCACTCGGCTGATTGCCAGGAGCAGACACTAGCTGGCGCAGCTGGTATGTATTTCCAAAATGGCACCTGCTCTATTGGTTTGTATGCCTTTGTAAGGTGATTGGAGAGAGGGAACTGTGTCCATACCATTATTTATTTTTTTCTCTCATCTAGTTTGGCTGGTACACTTTCCCCCATGGGGCTTCAAGCCTCATTCCCTTTAAGCTCTCTTTGCTGCTTTTTCAACAGTGGCCAAGGCTACTGTGGTCCTGTCTCACCTCACTTTCCAGTGCTGGTGTGTAGGCTCTCAGCTGTTGGAGTGCTGAGTCATGGGTGACCACACCCTCCAGATATATCTACCATGTCCCTCTAATTGTGGCAGAGTTTCCTCTGCCATTTTTCCCCCTAACTCTTCCCTGAGACTATATTATCTCCACATTTTTAAAACTATCTTCTCAGACTAGAGCAGTTAGCTCCCTCCATACTCTGCCCCAATCCATTTGATGCTTCTTATTAGGAAGGCAAATACTAGGGGGTTGGTACTGTGGCTTAGCAGGTAAAACCACTGCCTGCAGTGCCGGCATCCCATGTGGATGCCAATTTGATTTCCAGCTGCCCCACTTCTGATCCAGCTCTCTGCTAATGCATGGGAAAGCAGCCAAAGATGGCCCAAACTCTTGGGCCCCTGCATCCATGTGGGAGACCAGGAAGAAGCTCCTGGCTCCTGGCTTCAGATCAGTTCACCTTGGGCCATTGAGGCCATTTAATGAGTGAACCAGTAAATGGAAGATCTCTCTCTCTCTCTTCTCCCTCTAAGTCCCCCTCTCTCTTTCTCTTGGTCTCTCTCTCATTCTCTCTGTAACTCTGCTCTTCAAATACATACATACATACATACATAAAGTTTTAAGTGCAAATACTCTGTGATGCACAGAAAGGAAAGGAGGGAGAGACATAATTCCTCTGCACGGTGTTTATGAGAGTTGGAGAACTGGGACATCAATGCATGAATGTATAGGTCAGTTGGGGTCCTGTTGTCAATGCACCCCTATCTGGGATCAGGGTCCTTAGTGCTCCTTCTTCCTGTGCCCACTGCCTCCTGGAAGCACTCTTGAATGTTCTGTGTACTTCCAGTTGCTTCACAAAAGACTCCTCATGGGACTACCATGAGTGACAGGGAGAAATGAGTCCCACCACCTCGAAGTCCCTCAGCAAGGGTAACTACTGCTTCTCCTTTCTGAAATCTGCACAAAGCTTCCTGGGGTGCTGCACACACACAGATGGCTTCTCCATCTCTGCAGGGTGCTCAGCAGGAAAGATTGCCCCCTGCTACAACCAACTACAGTCCATTGCGATCAGAGAAGACGCATGGTATGATTTTTTAATTTTCTGAGACTTGCTTTATAACCAAACATGCAAATATATTTTAGAGGAAGTTCCACACACTGATGGGAAGAATTTGTATTGTGCAACTGTGGATTGAACAGTTCTGTAGATATCAATTAGGTCCAAGTGGAACATAGTGTCAATTAGCACTGTTGGTTTTGTTGATTTTATCTAGTTGATCTGTGCATTGATTATAGACAAGTATTAAAATCATACATTCATACTGTATTCGTCTATGTTTATTAATATTCATTCATATTTAAGTAGCTGATACACCCTGTACTTGGGTACATGTTTATTATAGTCATATATTAATGTTGAATTGATTCTTTAATCATTATATAGTGCCTTTCTTTCTCACTTTTAATAGTTTTTGTGTTAAAGTCTATTTTTCCAGTATTAGGATGGCAACCCCTGTGCTTTTTTGCCTTGTTAGCATGGAATATACTTTTCTTCCTTTTACTTTTTGTCTGTGTGTATCTTTGTTGGTGAGGTATGTTTCCTGTAGGCAGCAAGTAGATAGGTATTATTTTTTAATCCATTCAGCCAATGTGTATCTTAACTGGAGAGCTAGCACCATTTAAATTCATGGTTACTATTGATAAATAATGACTTGCCCCTACTATTTTTCCATAAATATTCCTATTGTTTACATTGCATTTCCTTTGTTTTTATTGGCAGATTTTCTGCCTTCACATTCTTGCCTAACGATAACTATCTTTCTTTGTTCCTATGTGTAACACATAATTAAGCATCTTTTGCAAGACTTTTGTAGGCATCTTTTGTAAGATGAGTGGTGACAAATTCTTTTAATCTCTGTTATGGAAGGTGTTTATTTCACCTTCATTCAAAATGAGAGCTTTGCAGGGTACAGTATTCTGAGCTGAGTTTTTTTTTTTCTCTTAAGTCTTGGACTATTTTCTCCTAGTCTGTATAATTTTCCATGTGACTATCTTTTTCATACCTTTCTTCAATGCCTTTTTCCCCTCAGTCTAGTTACAAACATGTTACCACATTCTAAAAGATCTTTTTCTTTATGCTCTCACCATTGATTACTTCCCAAATTTTCATTGTGTTGCAAAAGATAGGATTTCAGTCTTTTTTATGGCTGTATTATTCTGTAATGTATATCTATCACATTTCATTTATCCAGTTATTGGTTGATGGACATCTGCATTGATTCCATATCTTAGCTATTGCTAATTTAGCTTCTATAAACCTGGGGCATCACACCCCTTTCATTGGCTGATTTCATTCCCTTTGAGTAAACTCCCAGGAGTAGGATGGCTTGTTCATTGGTATATCTATTTCCAGATTTCTGAGGATTGTCTGTACACTCTGTGATAATAGTTATACCTATTTACATTGCCAACAACAGTTTATTAATGTATGTTTTTTCTCCCATCCTCACTGCATTTTTAAAAATTTTTGAGTTATAGCCACTCTAACTAGCTTGAGGTAAAACCTCATTGTGGTTTTTATTTGCATTTCTCTGGTGGCTAGGTGATCCTGGGTATTTTTCCCCAAGTTTGGGGGCTGACATTCTGGCATAATGCGTTAGGCTGCTGCCTGCAAGACCAGAATCCCATATGGGCACCAGTTCAAGTAGCAGCTGTACCACTTTCAATCCTGCTCCCTGCTACCATGCCTGGGAAAAGCTCAAAAGATGGCCCAAGTTATTGGGTACTTGTGCCCATGGGGGAGATCCAGAAGAAGCTCCTGGATCCTTGGTTTGTCCTTGTCCAGCTCTAGACATTGGAGTCATTTGGGGATTGAACCAGTGGATGGAAGACCTCCCTATCTGCATCTATCCCTCTCTCTCTCTGTAACTCAGCCTTTCAAATAAATCTTTAAAAAAACCAAAAAATAAAAACACCCATGTTTGTTCTGTTCTCATTCTGCCATCACTTTCCCAGCCAACCGAGTCTGCAGTGGTTTTCTATCACCCATGAATCTCATTATGTTTCTATGTTTCCTAAAGAGCCAAGACCTTGCAGGCATAGCCTGCATGTTATCTGGGTGCAGGCAGTGTACTGGGCAGCATAGCACTGTTAGGACCACTGCCTTTACAACCATAGTTGTGGACAACTCCACATCCCAGCTTGGGTTATTTCTTATAAAATTCAAGTTCTTTCCACATTCTCAAAGTGGTTGTTACTAAAATCTCATTCCTTGTTCCCAGAGCTGATTGAAAATAAAAAGCACAAGTTTAAGCATAAAAGAAATAGACAATTTAATCTATTGAAGATGAGGGGGTAGCATACTTCTGTCCCAGGATTTGGCACCCTGCTGAAAGAGGATGATTTGGGGATTTTAAAGGAGGCTACAAGGAAGGAGGAATCAGGAATAGGGGATCAAAGAATATGGATAACTGCATGTGAAGTGAACCATGATGGATTCTGGCCCAGTTTATCTTTGCACAGCTTTATCTTGCAGGTGCCTCCTCATTCCACAATGATGACACACTAGCATTCCTCTCCCTGTAATGAAAACCAGAAAGATTATTTTTCCACCAGAATTGTTCAGTCCCATAGCAGGAGGAGAGCCATAGATTAAAACATATAACCAACCTGAGTGTGTTTATCTTGGTGAGCTAAGGAGATAGTTGCGGAATTATCAACGATGTCTACACAGTATTCTGTTTGAGGGGAGGCATGTTTTCCCCCTAGGCAGCTGTAGCTTTAGAGAACTACTTGCCTCAGTAGGAAACTTCTGTTATTTAATAAGCACAGTCCTCTGGCTCTGTCATTTATGACACTTTGAATACAATTGGCCAAGGCTTCAATGTGCCAAATTCAGTCCCCATTCCTAACTGTGGGACAGAGATAATAAGATCCTACCAGTGGAAGACGTAACTGTGAGGCAAGTTTGGGAAACTAGCAGACTTCTGTATGTTTTTCTATTTTATTTGAATAAAAAGGAGGCCCAAGTACATAATCGCTAACCCAGAAACAGCCAAGGCCATCAATATTCCCCTTTCAATGCTGTGGATATTTATTCTTGTGCTTCCTCTAAGCTGCAAGGGATGGGAGAGTGCTTTGAGCTCAGCTTTCTGGGCTAAGATACCTTGTGGCAGTGCTATTGATTCTGAAGTTTCTGGGAGAGTTACTACTTCATATCCAACCCTTGATTTTCCTGTCCTGTGAAGCTGTTTTGATACACAAAGAGTTCCCGATCTGTAACCTGTAAGGGGATATCAGTCAGATCCAGCCTAATCAGACGTATCTGTTACATGACCTATAATCAGTCACATAGTTTCCCCAGGGGAGTCTGAGGGCAAGGTGGATGGATTAAAATATGATTCAGTTTTACAGGACCACTTCAGTTGTCAAATAGTACAGGTTAATTTTTACCATAGGGCATGAGGTAAGCCAGTAAGATCCTTGTTGTTACAGAAGCAGCAGCACATAGTAAGCTGTATGCACTGTGGTGAGATGACCAAAACTGAGCTCTCTGTCTCCTGCAGTACTTCACAAGTGACTGTTATTCTCAGACACCACAGCCAGTCTTTGGTGGAATGTCCACATTTTTGAAATGTATACCATTGGTCATTTTATTTTCCCCAAATTTTGAGTCATTCCTTCCAGTCCTAATCCTTGCTTCTCATGTACAAAGAGGTCAAAGCCCTTTCTCAACACCTCCCTGTGTGTGCTGTAGGTGCTGTCTATAGAATCTAGCACTACATGTGAGGATGGCAAGTATCACTTCTAGTTAGCATCTCTCTTTTGAAATTGGGGTACTCTTTAATGGGTATAGTTCTATCAGAGTCTTTTGTGACAGTTTCTACCAGGCAACCACACATAATGACCCTCCCTTAAAAATCTCTTGGTGTTAACCTAATTTTGCTTAGGATTAAAACCCGTGATTCCATCTTGATATTTATTTCCTCTTTGTGATCATGATCTTTTGGGGGTCACAACACTGATCAGCCATCCTGCAGCTAAACTTTACTTATCCCTCATTGCCCAGTTAGATTTGACCCAGCTATTCATCTGGTGCCATGTTGGAAGGGAAGTCATGACCAGGAGGCATTTTCAAAGAACAATTTTGTCCCAATTTGAGCAACAGAGAGGTGAAACAAGTGGCTCTCAAACTAAATTTACCTGGAGTCCATTGTTAAACTTAGTTTTGTTTATTCTGTAGGTTCCAATCATCATCTCAAAGTGCCAGGCATTATCCTGCTGAGAATTGTACTTCTGTAGACTTCTTACAGGCAGTAGGCACACAACTCAAACAGGAAAACACCAAGTGCAAGATAAATCAGGTTGACATCTTAAAAATAATGAATAGGGATACAATCAAATAGTAGACATGATAACTGACAATTCGTATAAGTACAGCATGAAAGGTTGAGTATCCATGTTAGTCTCAGACCCAGAAAACTCTCCAAGTTAGCAGTCTAAAAACAATGAACAGAGTTACAGTCTAAAGCAGGTATGTTATAGTTTGTTGATTGGCTATTTGCTTTAAATACAGTAACTAAATTTCCTTTGACATATAATCTCACACTTGGAAAATTCTCCAAATTAAAAGGCAAATCTATGACAAACCTAGATTTTTTTTAAAAACTACAGTGTCTAGTATTTTGAAATTTTTGGATCTGCTAAAATATGAGAAGTCCATTTACTCACTGCAAGACTGAAAACCCTACAAGCCAGGCATTTTATGCATGATTTAGATATGCCAATGTTTCCAAATATATTCTGTTATGAGAACAGATTCTGATGAATTCATGAAAACAATCACATTGCCCTCCCACATATACCATATTTATAAAAATTTTTGAATGTTAGAGCAATTACATGGAGGGAGTGGAAAATAAACACTTCTTCTCTGGTTACAGAACACCCCTTTACCAAAATACATAAACCACTGAAATCACGTAACAGTTTTCCTGAACCTAGAAGGTGAAACATTGAAATATTAGAACCAATAACACTTTAAATGAAAGATGGAAATCCCCAGATGTCATTAATTCATTTAGTCTGATTAATTTTTGTCCTGTTTTACATTAGACACTTTCTAGGTGTTCCAGGATTTTCCCCCCAAGTTTTGGACATTCTTACCTATTCCGTTGATTTTAAAGCAGTCAGAAATCTGTATTTAAGAACATTGCTTAGGGTTTTAGGAAGAATCAGAATTGTTGATACAATGTCTCAGAACATATCTGACAGGTTTATGAAACTGTCCCTATTCAATCTCTGGGCCAGTGATGGGAAGGAGTCCCTCAAAGTAACTGTTCAAAATAAGGACACTTTTCATTGTGAAATAATATCCAACCACTTAGAGTGAGTTAATCAGTTATAGACCTGATGTAGTCATACTTACAGTGATCACCAAATATTGGAAAATGAGTAAACACCCAAAGCAATCTTCCTTGTTAACACTCAGCTCTTTGTAAACAATGAGAATTCAACAAAGAAAGCAAAGAACACAAGAAATTACCTTAGTGAAACACAAATGGTTTTCTTGGCCAGGTACCAAGGGGTAAAACCACTAGTATAGAATCAAGTTATCCTGTCATCCAGGATTTTAAGATAAAAATTTGCTGTCCAGTCATACTAGAGTCAGAACTGGAGAGGAAAAGAGCATACAGAAACTGACCTGAAAGCCAAGGAATAGAGTCCACAATTAAACTACATTCTAGAAGATGGTCAAAACGATGAAAGGAAAACTGATTAAAAGAACCGTGGTACAGCTGGCAGTGATGTGCAGTGGCGCAAGCAGCCCCCTGCAATGCTGGCATCCCATATGAACAGCAGTTCAAGCTCTGTCTGTTACACTTCTGATTCAGCCCCCTGCTAATGGTCCTGAGAAAGAAGCAGCAGATGGCCCATGTACAGTGGCCTCTGCACCCATAAGGGAGAGCCAGCGGAGTTCTAGGGCCTTAGCTTTGGCCTGGCCCAGCCCTGGCCTTTTCAGCCATTTGGGAAAGTGAATCAACAGATGGAAGTTCTCTCTTTCTCTTTTACTCTGTCTTTAACATAAATATTTTTTTTAGAATGAAAAGATAAATTTATTTTGGTGCAAAAGAATTTCAAAATCCACACATGATTTTTCGTGATATGTATCTTCCACGAACTTTTCTGAGGATTCCTTGTATGAGCAGCCCGCAGGTTCTTAGGGTAAAATCAGGTGAGGTATGTGTCACACAGAATTGCTACAAGCAGATAGTTGTCAAATATTACTGCCTTGCCAGACCTGGAAGTAAAAGACACCGTAGGAAAACACAGCACTTGTTTGTCTTAAATGTCTTTGAGCAGGTTTTGCACAGCTTTTGGGATGCTTTGTTTTCTTAATATCAAACAGGAGCACAGCAATACAAGTAGTAGGGCCTCCTAAGAAGCAATACTATTTGTATAGAATTCTCAGCCATTTATTTAGGGAGAGGAGCAAGCAGCATTTAACCTCCAGTTTAGACCTTTATTGGTTTTCAGTGTGACACTTTCTGTTTCTCAGCAGATAGCTCACCAACAAACAAAACACCGTTCTTCTCCACCACGTGTTCCAGATTACATTGCCCAAGAAATCGGATCTGTTGTTAAAATGTTTATTCAATCAAGGTTCAGCTCAGAATTCCTTGGCAACTTTGAGCTCCCTAGCGTCAGCCAAGAAGGTGTTATTAATCTCGCATTAGAGATGATAAAAATGAAGCTCCCTGGGGTTAAAGCCTAAGAAGCAGGCTAAGTTGTTGTGAAAGTTCCACAAGATCATTTAAGTTCAGAACCCAGTACTACTTGACACCACCTACTCAGTGTGCACTCAAGAAACAGCTACTGTTGTCATGGAGAAAGCTGGACTAACCTTCTGAGCCACTGAAGAGGAAGTACTAGTAAAAGCTCCCCTAACATAAATATTTTTAAAACCACAAAAACAAAGATGGAACATAATGTATGAATTTCCCCAGGGCAACAAGTGGCTCTGGCAGCTGCTGGGATTGTCCCTGTTTCTCCCAGAAGGCAAAACCTCAAAAGCAGGGACTGTTAACACCAACTGAAGTGGCCTCTCCCTCCTCCAACAGCTTGAGTGGGTAGACCTTGGTGCACTGCCACAGCCAATTGTTCTATCCATCTATCCATTGGTACCTGGCAGCAACAAGGGTGTCAGCCTATCTGCCACATTTGCCCAAATTTTCCATTTCTGAAAGTTCTTGGTTCCTGTCCCCAGTGCTCAGTCAAAATGCTGATAAGATGTGAGGGTAAGAAAAGATACCGTTCAGTCTATCAGCAGATGAGGGGGTAGAAGACTTCTAAATCCAGAACTACCAATGTGCTGGATAAGGGTGTTTTGAAATTTTTAAAAGGAGGCTGTAAGAAGGTGGGAGTCAGACTATTAGGAGAGTAGAATAGGGACAGCCGTATGTTGTTCTTCAGCCGGGCAATAAGGGGCTGGCTGGAGTCACAGTGGTTATCTCATCTAGTTACAGGCTCAGATCATGCTGAAGTTCCTCACTAGTCAGTAATGCCAAACTCTTCAGACCAGGGTTTGGATGGCCAGTGGGCTTCAGTGCTTTTTGCTCTGGGCCTAAAATTCCCCTAAATGAAACTCCTTGAGTCTATTCCAGTCATTAAGGTGCTATCTGATTATAATCTTCCAGGGCTGGCTATAAAAGTCCCTCAATTCAGCGAGTCAATGTAAGGAAGGAAGGCTAGAGACAGGGGTCTGACGGTATATAAAATTCAATACATTATTTAGGGTCTCAGTTTCAGCTGTAATAAAAGAATTAAGCTATGAGAAGATGTGCTGAAACACTAAGGATATACAAATACTGATTTTTAAATTCCTTATGTATCTTTCTGTCCATGTCATATTTGTAATCGATTACAAATCAGACTTGACAGATTTAAGCTTTGTTGGGAAAGAACTTCAAGGAGCTATGGCTCTTCTAAATAGATAATAAATAAATCTTCTTTAAAAGAACTTAGAAGCTACATAGATGCCACAGATTAAAATAGGAAGTTAATTAATGACTCTCCAAGGTCTCATTATTTCCAGACAGGGTATTTTCAGGCTTGTGTGTTTCCTTTAGTATCATACATAAACACACTTCAGTTCAAACTGTAGGAAGTCTAGAAAGCTGGATGAGTTTTAACAATCCACTGATCACTGAGAAAGCACAAAAAGCTGACTGGTGTCAGAGTGAAAGAAACAGACTGTTCTTTTTCCCAATCTGCTGTGGGTAAAGCAAAGAGGTGTTCAGAGCCTCAGACATTTCAGTCCTGAGACCCTTGAGATTCCAGCCACCATTAACATAAATTCAGATAACAAATTTTTAAAACTCCATGAAGATGATCAAAGATGCATTTCTTAGCCATCCTCGCTTAACTCTAATTCTATTTTCAAACAAATCTACATTTATGCAAAATAAACATCTTATAACATTTAACCTTCACTTGTGATAAGAATTTAAAAAACTACTGTGATCAAGGAACTTCCTCCATGTAGCTGAGGTGGACACTTGAGAGTGTGGGGACAGTCGTTTCTGTCTCTTAGTATTCTCAAGTTGTGTTGGCTTCTGCTGAGTGTGAGCATGATCTGTGACTTCCCTCTGATGATTACAGTATGGGAATTGTGAAGAGTTTTGCAGATGTTTTACAATCCCAAAATCATTAATTAAAAAAAGTTAGTACAAAAGTAGGTTATACTGGATTATCCTGATTTAAAAATCATAGGTGACAAACTGTCTTTCCTGAATGAACAAAGTGATCTGAGGTAGTCCTCAAGGTCAAGAACTGGGACTAGCCTCTAGGAATGGACTCAGACAAAGTATGAGATTACAATTGCATGTGACTTTGAGAAAGTAATTTTGTGATGATGTTATACAGCAATAGAACACTAATTCACTAAGACTATCTACAAAAATCAAACAAAACAAAAATACCAAATACAACATCTATATACTATTTTCCTTTGAAATAACAATGATACATTAATACCTATAATATTCACTTTTTCTCATTATTGTTCTAGGAGTAGGAGCAGAAAAATAAAATAAAATACCTCCAGGAACTGGTAGGAAACAAACTGTCAATATATAGAACCCTTGGGGGAAAAAAAAGCCCATGGATTTATACTGATAGAAGTAAAAAAATATGTTGAAAATTTGAGAGCTCTTAAAATGCTGCGCTGAGACCATATGCATTAAGGAAGCTTGTCAGTCAGTTCCAAGGTTTCAGAATAGGGAGGAGCTTACTGATCTAGCCCAGATGAAGATGGTTTAATAAAAGTGGTGATAGTGTAGTCTAAGGGAAGAGTTAGGGAAAAAATGGCAG